CGCAAGAAAAGAGATTGCTAACAGACAAAGCAGAGAAAAGGAGACAAAAGGAGACAGCAGATTAATGGAGGCAGAGAAGAACAACCTTAAAGGAGACAAAAAGTTATACAAGGTAGAGAAGAAGAAGACAAAGGAGACAGAAGGAAGCAAAGGAGACAGTTGAGGTGATAAAGGAGACAAAAGAAGACAACAGAAGACAGAGGAGACAGAGGGAGATAAAGGAGACAGTTGAGGAGAGAAAAGGAGACAGTAAGAGACAAGCAGAGACAGTAGGAGACAAGTATAAACAGTAGAAGACAGAGGAGACAGTAAGAGACAAACGGAGACAGTAGAAGACAGAAGAGACAGCAGCAGCAACGAACCGGTAGCAGCACAAGCGATGCAGGATGCTCTGTCTCCACTCTATTAATAGCTTTCTGCAGCAATGCTGCTGCTTCTGCTGCACTCCAACTGTCTCCTGCTACCTCAGGGTCAAAGGCCCGCATTGCACACAAAGCCCAGCACAGACGCTGCAGCAGCAACAGCAACAGCAGCAGCAGCAGCAGCAACAACAGCAGCATTGTGGATCGGAGGCCGCTGCGGAGTGAAGGAGACAGATGAGGAGATAAAGGAGACAGAAAGGAAAGAGACAAAGAAGAACAAGGAGACAGAATGCATGCAAGGAGACACAAAGAACAAACAAGAAGTAGAGACGAAAAGAGACAGACAAAGAGACAACAAAAGACAAATGGAGACAACAGAAGACAGACAGGGAGACAAACGGAGTCAAAAGGAGACAGCAGCAGCATTGTGGATCGGAGGCCGCTGCGGAGTGAAGGAGACAGATGAGGAGATAAAGGAGACAGAAAGGAAAGAGACAAAGAAGAACAAGGAGACAGAATGCATGCAAGGAGACACAAAGAACAAACAAGAAGTAGAGACGAAAAGAGACAGACAAAGAGACAACAAAAGACAAATGGAGACAACAGAAGACAGACAGGGAGACAAACGGAGTCAAAAGGAGACAGGAAGAGACAGAAAGAGACAGAGAAAGAAATAACAGGAGACAAAAGGAGACAGAGGAGGAGACAGAAAAGGAGACAAAAGGAGACAAATGGAGACAAACGAAAACAAGGGGAGACAGAAAAAGAGAGACAAAAGGAGACAGCAAAAGGAGAAAAAAAAAGGCAGAAAAAGGAGACAAAAGGAGACAAAAAAAGAGCGACAAAAGGAGACAAAAGGAGACAAAAAAAGAGCGACAAAAGGAGACAGCAAAAGGAGACAAATGGAGACATAAAGAAAGACAAAAAAGACAGAAAAGAGACAGCAAAGAGACAGAAACAGAGACAAAAGGAGACAAAAGGAGACAGAAAAAGAGAGACAAAAGGAGACAGAAAAAGAGAGACAAAAGGAGACAGAAAAAGAGAGACAAAAGGAGACAGAAAGAAAGACAAAAAGAGACAAATGAATTACCGCAAAGACAAGCGACTGCCCCATCGGTACATCCTCCAGGCCCTTCGCCTCCTGGAGGAGATGCGAGATAAGACCCCCAAAACGCCCTGTAACACAAACCCTAAACCCTAAACCCTAAACCCTAAACCCTAAACCCTAAAACTCTAAACCCGAAAACCCTAAACCTTAGACCCTAAACCCTAAACCCTAAACCCTATTTTATCGCCAAAGAGGGCTAGGCTCGACCGTGCTGAGGAGACACTTTAAGCGCGTCTCTCTTTTCTTTCATTACCTCCTCCTCTCTGTCTCTCTAGCTAATATTTATATACTAAGATATATATACTTATATATTTATATATAAATATAGACTTATACATGTATATACTTATCTATTTATATTTATTGTATATATTATACGTCTATCATACTCCAAATTGAGTGGTGATAAATATGCATTTAAATACTTATATATTTATATTTATGTTAATATTTATATTTTATATTAATATTGATAATTAATATTTATATTTATATTTATATCTACAACATAATATACTACTATATTTATATTTGCATATAAAATACATTTATAAACAGGTGCTACTATGAGTGCAGTTCGGGTATCCCTAAGCAGCCTAGGGTTTAGGGTTTAGGGTTTAGGGTTTAGGGTTTAGGGTTTGGCGAACTGGGTTCAACTCCATTAAGAGCGACAGCAAAGAGAGCAGCAACTGTCCCCTCTGCCCCAAGGGTTTGTGCCTCAGCATATAAAGGAGACACTCGAGACACCCTCTTTAATAAAACTTCAGCAAAGAAGAGAAGCTCTTCCTCCGTTACTAAGCACAAACAAAACAATAATTAAAATAATAAATAATTAATTATATTTTCACAATTGTAATAAACTAACGCTGGGATGCAGACGTATTTGCATGCATGCAAACAGCAGCAACAGCATCAGCAGCAACAGCAGCAGCAGCAACAGCAGCAGCAGCAACAGCAGCAGCAGCAGCAACAGCAGCAGCAGCAACAGCAGCAGCATACAGAGAGAGAGAGAGACAAAAGGAGACAAATAAAAAGGATACAGAGACAAAAAAGAAGAGAGAGAAACAAAAAACACAAAAAATAAAAGCAGAGACGGAGAGACAAACAGCAAAGAGAGACAAATGAGAAGGGAGACAAACAAAATAAAAGAGAGACAGAAGCAAAAAAGAAGAAAGGAGACATTAAAAAAATAAAATATATAAATAAAAACCTACAAAGGAGACGGTTAGCGCAGATAAGAGGCAATAGACGCGCAGTCTCGTTCGATGACAGCCTGAAAAATAAATAAAAGGAGACAATTAAAGACAAAAGGAGACAATTAAAGACAGCACAATTAAAAGCAAAAAGAGACAATTAAAGACAAAAGGAGAGAATTCAAAACAGGAGGAGACGCAAAAAGACATAAGGAGACAATTAAAGACAAAAGGAGACAATTAAAGACAGGAGGAGACAAAAAGGAATCAATTAAAAGCAGAAAGAGACAATTAAAGACAAAAGGAGACAGTTAAAAAGAAAAAGCAGAGATTTAAAAAGAAAAAGGAGACAGAAAGGAGACAGTTAAAGACAAGAGGGGACGACGAAGAACAAAAAGGGGACACATTAGAGACAAAAGGGGACACATTAGAGACAAAAGGAGACAGACAGAGACAACAAGGAGACAGAGTAGAGACAAAGCAGAGACAAAGAAGAGATAAAATGCAGGAGGAAAGGAGACAGAAGAGAGACAAAAGGAGACACATTAAAGGCAAAACAAAAAGGAGACAAAATGTAGAAGACAAGGAGACAGATGAAGACAAAAAGAGACAAAAAGGAGACGCCTCAGAGACACAAAGGAGACACAGAGGAGACAGAAAGCAGACCTCCTAACCCCTAACCCCTAAACCCCAAACCCTAAACCCCAAACCCTAACCCCTAAACCCTAAACCCTAAACCCTAAACCCTCGAAGGAGACAAACCAGCGAACATTAAGTTTAAACAGACGAATTGCTTTCCAGGCGATATGTTTAACAAAGCCAAAGGGGACAGGCGTCTCTAAGCACCACTTAAAAACTTCTTGCAGCACTCTGCTGCGCTGCCCCTCCGCAACTTCTGCAACAAATCTCTCTTGTTCGAGCAGAGCCCCAGCAGCTGCGCATACACCCCAATTCATAAACCCTAATCCTTTATAAACCCTAATTTACAAACCCTAAACACTGCGCATACACCCCAATTCATAAACCCTAATTATAATGCACAAACCCTAGCAATTGATTTTAAAAATAATAAAAATAATAACTAAACCCTAATTATTGCTAAGCCCTTCACTCTCTCTTCCCTCGGCTTTCTACGCCCAGCATGCAGCAAGTGCTTCTAGAAGCAGCAGCAGCAGCAGTAGCAGGAACAACACCAACATGAGCAGCAGCAGCAGACGCCGCGCGAGCAACAACAACAGCAGCAGCAGCAGCAAGAGCAGCATGAGCAGAAACAGCGGCAGGAGCAGCAGCAAGAGCAGCATGAGCAGGAACAGCGGCAGGAGCAGCAGCAAGAGCAGCATGAGCAGAAACAGGGGCAGGAGCAGCAGCAAGAGCAGCAGGAGCAGAAACAGCAGCAGGAGTAGCAGCAGCATTAGCAGCAGCAACAAAAGAAGCAGCAGCACGAGAGGCAGCAGGAGCAGCACGAACACCAGCAGCAGCAGCAGCAGCAGCAATATTACCTTGTGTGAGCGTGAGTAATTCGTTGTCTTTGATAATTTTTCTGCTGCTGAGGGCCCCCACACCCTGCAGCACTTGCAGCAGCTGCAGCAAATCGAACCTCCCTAGTAAGGGGCAGACCCGTTCTAGTAGGTCTCCCCACACAGCTTTAACTCTTTTAGCGGTATATTGCTGCTGCTGCTGCTGCTGCTGACTGCCGCTGCCGCTGCCGCTGCTGCTGCTGCTGCTGCTGCTGTCTCGAGGCAGCAGCTGAGCAGAAGCAGCTCGCAGCAAAGTAGGAAGAGCCCTTATATGTGAAGGCTGCGTTGAAGGTGGGATGTCTTGCAATCTCTTAGCACAGCAAAAGACAAACTCTGATATAAGAGAGTCGCAGAGCCCCCTATACACTCCAACAGAGAAGGGACCCTCTAGCCAGGCTTCAACACCCCCTCCTGCTGCTGCTGCTCCTGCTACTCCTGCTGCTGCTGCTGCTGCTGCTGCTGCTGCTGGTTCTGCTGCAGCCTGCTGCAACGCTTTTCGGAGACCCTTTGATGGGGCCCTCAGGGCTTGCTGAGCCCTCTGAGTGTGTTTATGAGTTAAGAAATTCATACAGAAGTTTGCATGCAGACGAGCACCATTTGCTGCTAGCAGAGCAACATCATGCGGCAGCAAATTGCTGCGGCCGCGTTGCAGCAGCTTGAGTAGCTGCTGGAGCAGCAGCAGTTGCTGCTGCAGCAGCAGATCGAAGTCTACAACTGTCTCCTCTTGTGTCTCTTGTCTTAACATATCGTTGAGTACATTCGTTACATATAACAACTCCTTAGCCCCCATCCTACCTGTCTGCTTCCCTTCATTAACACCCTTCAGAAGCAATACAAAAGAGCCTTTCTTCTCTAATGCGTCGAGCTCAGCTAATATAGAAGCCCCTAGAAACAAGCGCTGTCTCTCTCTTGCTGTTAATGGGGTAGAGGGCCCCCCCCCCTCTACTGAGGGTACACTGCTTCGCCCGCTGGGGGCCCTTGGGGGCCCCCATGAGCCTCCTTGATGATTTCCTCCTCCTATCCAACCTTGTTGATGAGGTGCACCAGTTGCTGCTCCTGCTGCAGCAGGGGGGGCCCCATATGGGGGCCCCATGCTGCCATAGGGGGCCCCTAAAGGAGGGGGGGGCCCATAGTACCCTATTCCTTGTGGGGCTGCATGCGCATAAAGGGGGGCCCCCAAAGAATAAGCAGGGAAAGGAGGTATAGAAGGTGAATAATATCCAAAGGGTGGGGCCCCATATAGGGGGGCCTCTGCTGCTGCACCTCCGGGTGTATGTGCAGCTCCTGTTGCCTCACCATATGATCCGTGAGGTGTATCTGCAGCTCCAAACTGCATGTAAGGTGGAGGCTGCTGCAGGGGATCGTAGGGTACGCCTGGGAGCGGCCCCACAGGCGTCTCGAAAGGTGGTTTGGGGGCCCCCCCGTATGCAGCAGCAGCATTAGCAGCATTAGCAGCAGCAGCAGCAGCAGCAGCAGCATTTGCTGCTGCTCCAGGTACTCCTGTTGCTGCAGATCCAGCTGCTGCTGCAGCAGAGCCAGACCCCTGGGGCCCCTCCATGGGGCCCCCAAGACCCCCTGCATGCGCTTGTCTTGACTCTCGGCTTGCTTCTGATGACTGAGGATAATTAGGAAGACAAGGATCGTGAAGAACAGCAAAGAGACGCCTGGGTAATAGAGCAGGGGGCCCCCCAGGTTGGGGGGCCCTTAGTAAGAGCTGCCCTGCCCTACAAGATATCATGAGGGTATAAGGAAATGAAGCGTAGAAGAGAGAAGAGGTGTAAAAGAGTTAAAAGAAATATCTAAATGAAAGATATCATTCAAAGAAGGGATGCAAAGAAACAAGAATAATAAACTTTAACTGCCTCTGCCTGCAGCCGCTCCTCTTCTTATCGTACACCGCAACAGTATATGAAGGAAGGAGAAACAAATTTTATTTGTTTTGCATGCTTTTTTGTTTTGTTCGCTTTATTTTAACACACAACACAGCATAACACCGTCGCAGCACATCTTAACAAGCCCCGCCCGATCCCAAACCCTCGCATGCAAGAGCAGCAGCAGCAGCAGCAGCAGCAGCAGCAGCAGCAGGTTGAGGCCAGCAGTAGAAGGAAGAGGGTCTTGCATACAGTATTTGCTGCAGCGGATCTGCATTGCTGTTTTATTATTCTATTTTCTTGTTTTTGTTTGTATTCGCTTCGTCTTACTCTTAACGCATCAGAAAAAAGTAAATAAATAACAAGAGAAGATGCAGCGCAAATGAAGCAGCAAATAACACACTGCATACAAACAGCACAGCAACAGCAGCACACACGGGAACGCTAGCTGCCTAATGTATATGCATGCACTCCTGCTGCTGCTGCTGCTGCATCTACGGGTGCTTCCGTTGCTGCTGCTGTTGCTGCTACTCGCGCTGCTGCTCGTGCTGCTGCTAGTGCTGCTCGTGCTGCTGCTCGTGCTGCTGCTCGTGCTGCTGCTAGTGCTGCTGCCGTTCCTACGCTTCGCAGCAACTGGATCCTTGCTGCATGAGAGCATCTGTTTGTTTTTGTTATTTCTACGTTTGTTTATTTGTGTCTTTTCGCTGTTTTGTTTGTCTTCTACTGTAAGCGAAGCACTGAGGGAAGCAGCATATACACCCCAGCTTCTGTCTTGTTCTCCTTCACCTGCCCTCCAAATAATATATTTAAATAGCAAATGAACAATTTTTAAGAAAAGCAGTGGATGCCGCTGCTGCTGCTGCTGCTGCTGCTGCTGCTGCTGCTGCTGCTGCTGAGGACAGCAGCACTCCCGCAGCAGCTCCGCTGGAGCAGCCCTGCTGCAGCAGCAACACTTCGAGCCTTTGCATGCAGTCATCACCATAACCCACACACTCTCTCTGCTGTATGCATGCGCTACTGACTGCATGCGGGCAGCAGCAGCAGCAGCACAAATAACACGGCCAGCCCCGTATCGACAAAAAAAAAAAGAAAAACGCAAACTTGCTATGCATGCGCCTACCGCATGCCTCCCCGTACACAGCTTAGGGCCCCCATACATGCATCTCTGCATGCATGCATGCACCTATGAATGCACCTGCATGCATGCATCTCTGCACGCATCTGTGCCTGTATGCACACGTGCACGCATACATGCATGCATCCGTACCTGAAGGCAACTGTGCATGCGCAGTTGTGCACATGCATGCATTCATAGATGCATGCATGCATGCGGACTTGGGGTGTAATGATCCTCACGTATAGGGGCTTATGAGATATATATTTGAGTGTTTATAAGAGTTTTTTTTGTGTTTTGTTTAATATCCTCTGCTGCAATTAACAGGCGTTGCCATATCTTCATTCGAAGAAACCCCTTTTAAATATTTATGCATATTGTTGCTGAAGACGCGCATCGTTTCTGCTGCACTGAAATTCTCGCTAAAATCTGCATTGTGGCTGGAGAGCAGCAAGTTGTCTGCTCCCCACAGAGGTGAGTCTGCAGGAAGGGGTTCGCGCTGAAAGACATCAAGAGCAGCTCCAGCGATTTGTTTGTTGTTTAAAGCCTGAAGAGAAGAAGAGTAAAGCAGCAATAAACAAACAAAAGGGGTTTCCTCACTCATAGCTGATACTTACAGGAATAAAGAGAGAAAAGAAAACAAATTCTGCGGTGTACAGACACCCCAAATATACACCCCAATAAACAAATACACAACATAGGGCTTTAGGAGTTAGTTATGTCGTCGGGTGTACGTACATGCAGCAATGCAGCCTCATCCACTACGCTTCCTCTCCCTATTGAAATAAAGACAGCCGTCTTCTTCATTGCAGCAAACTGCTCATAAGAAATGCAGCTCCGCGTTTCCTCCGTAGCCGGGAGGCTGCAAACGATGAAGTCTGACTGTCTGTACACCTAAACAAAATATGCGCATGCACTGCATAAACAACTTCTTCATTGCTCTTCTGCATGCATGCAGAAAACACACAAAAAGCCCCATCCAAACATGCATGCATGCATGTATGCATGCATGCATGCACCCACCTCTAGGGCTTGTGAACCTGAAGAAGAGCCGTAGACTGCATCGAGCAACTCGCACTTTCTGCTTGCATCACGGCGTAGGGCAATACATCGCATGTTGAATGCCTAATAACAAAAAGGCAAAAGGATAATACAATGCAGACAAATAACAAGACGAGACAAATAAACACATAAGCAGACATATTCCCCTTCGCTGGGCTCCTCCTAATCTTCTAGAAAGAAGAATAGGAACGTGTGCTGATACGATACGATCTAGCTATCTTTTGTATATTTCTTATAAGGCAATTGTTGTGCTGGAGCAGAGTAAACAAGGGGCTGTGGTGCATGCACAGGAAGAGGAAATGCCTACTCTGCATGCAGAAGCGATTTCTTTTGCGATGTCGCCGTAGCCAATGAAGCCAACAGTTTGCCCTTTAACCTCCCCCATGACGAAGCGCTCCCATCTTCGGTTTTGTTTGTTTGCTTGCAACCTGGGTATTTGCTTGGCGAAGTGCAGAATAGCAGCCATTGTGTATTCCTTTAGAGAAGAGGAAAAGACTCCTCTTGCATTCGTCACTAGAATACCGCTTTCGCTGAGAGAAACTGATGGATTCGATGGAAGGCGCAGCCGACGTAATTCAGCACAAAGTCCTTCTACACCGGCTAAATAACTGTGAATCCACTTCAAGTTTGGCGCCAAGGGAATCACTTCAGCCAAAAGAGATGAAGGTGCATCCACTATAAACAGAATCTCAGCCTGTGCACAAAAAGAAGAACTGCCGTGCAGATTCCGAAATCGATAGAGGCACAGACACGCATTTGCGCTTCATGTTTCCATCTATTCGTAAAAATGAGGAAATAAGGCTTCATTACTGTACGATCCGCAATGATATTCAGCAGAATAAAGGTTTAAAATGCCGGAAGAATGCTCCAAACATGATGCTTGTCGCGGTGTATGCGCAGGTTTGTGTGTGTCTGATCAGCGCGTCTGAGAGGAAAGCTTGGAAAGTTAGCACGAAATCGGTGTCTTAATATACCATTTTCACTTCTTCTTCTCGGCATTCAAAGTCTTTCTTAGAACATCCTGAAAGAACGTCGAAGTCCGGGAAGTTTTCCCTCACATTCTTGACGAAACGCGGCAATACAACTTGGCCAAAAGGAGGCGGAGAAGACGAAATTGAATCTGCTACCGTCGCCTCAGGACAAAGGGAAAGATCCACTGACGCCTGAGTCAACGCAATAATATATCTTTTTCCCATCTTATTCGAATTTTTCTGTAGATAGAAATTCAAGTTGAGATCTGCAACTCGACTCGGAAAGCGGAGCCGCCGAGCAGGAAAGCGAGAGGGAAATGCGGAGTAATTCGAGGCTCCTTTTGCATGCAAAGAATTCAAAATGCATTAAAATGATATTTATATAGAGTTAAAACTTCAAAATATTTTTTTTCCTTCTCTTCTCTTCAGCCTCCTTGCCAGACTTCTTCTCGAGGCGGTGTGCGGCTCTATGAACAAAGGCATCTTCTACTTTATCATAGCGCTGCATGTGCAGCAACAGCATACAGCAAACCTTTGCAGATTAGATTATAAAATTGGAGTTAAAAGCATTTCTCATTATATTTCTTTTTTTCCTGAAGTCTACAGCAGCTAACCATCCACCGCAGTGCACATCGGCAACAGCGCTTCTTGTCTAAGACATGCAGAGCCGCTCCTCCTGCTATCGTCATAAAGGGTTTAAGTATAATGAGGTAAGAGCAGCAGCTGAAGCATGTTTTGCTTCTAAGTGCAGAGAGATTCTCCCTCTATCACTTGTCTTTATTCTCTATACAGCGCAGAAGAGCCTCGTAAGTTAATACGTTTATGTCTGCTGGCCTACTTACAGGCTAGGCATTGAAAACCAAGCATATGTATAGCCCTTCTTACTCATTCTTCTCCTTCAGCTTGTTTAATAAGCTGTTCTTGCTGCATTATAGAGGTGGATTAGCAGGCTGTGAACGGCTGCTCCCTTGTCTCTTTGAAATAAGCAGAAAGTCTATTCAATTTACTCAAGATAAAATAAAGCAGAGACACAGAGACAGTTGCTTGCTTCTCTAAAGATGTTCTTGCTTCCTCTGCATGCATCAGAAGAGTTGCATTTGCCTTTGGCGTCTTCTTTATTATCACAATACGTATGCTATATCCGATAAAAACTAATTAATTATTTTTATTATATATACATAATAATAGTGTGAAAGCAATTATTATTATTCATATTCAATAGTAAGAATAAATATCATCATTATAATTATTACAATTATACCTTTCATTCTTATTAAAAATAGAGAGCAATCTAATGGCGGCTGCACACTGCACGAAAGCTTTCCGCAGTGCACTGCTAGGTAATTTGCTGCTGCTGCTGCTGCTGCTGCTGCTGCTGGCGCTGCTAGTGGTGCTGCTGCTGCTGGCTCTGCTGCTGCTGCTGCTGCTGCTGGCGCTGCTGCTGCTGCTGCTGCT